ACATGCCATAGCGACCCAGGCGGCCCTGGCAGGGCCTCCCTGTGCCCAGGCCCCATAGCGGCCGCCTGGGTCGCTATGGCAATTGTTACACCACTGTACAGTACTGTATATATTATTATATATGTTACATAAACATATATAATAATTAATAATATATACATTCTTATATGTTACATAAAGAATGTTAAGAAAGTGGAGCAAATGCTGCTAGGAATTGCAGTAGTAGTAGTAGTAGTGTTCAATCTCCCTCATCAGCAAATTCATGTTTGCTTGCTTGTATGTACATTATAGGTGATCAACTAACAAATAAATGGATAATATTAGTTTCCAGCAGGAGTTTTTTTAATGAGAAAAAATAAACACATGAATATATTAAAAACATTGTAAAAAGTAAATTTTGTGAATAGACCCAAAATATTTTCATTTTCATATTAGACAGTGTATTGTTTTAGCATCTTGATATAATACTCATGAAACACGGGCAAGCCAATCCCCCTACTATAAAAGTTTGGGCAGCAGTGTAATGGATCAGGTTAGGTGACAATTTTGTAGGGAGAGCATGTGAAAAGATACAGTGCTATACACCTATTATACATACATACAGTAGACGTACCCATAAATACACATACCCTTGTGTAGTCTCCCCCTATTGGGCGGTGGAAAATTCTATTACATTTTGATAGGGCTTTTTTTAAGTGTGGGGTATTCAGCATACACTTGTTGCTGAACAGTACGCAGCACTCCACCGCACAGTTAACTGAGATAACTGGTGTGCACTGAAAGCACCACACAATCACCAATGTGTTGCCATAGTTTCAATAAAAAGGAGACATTTTACTCACCTCCCAAAAAGTACTACAATGAGAGTCAAAGGTGTTGTGTGCGCCCAACCAATATAGTTACAGCATACCCACGTAAACCTTCCACATTTACATCCTCCCAGGTGAAGTGCAACCAGTTGTCTAATAACGTTACTAAGGCACCGTCTTCACCCTCTCCTCTAATCCCACTATAGACCCGTAAAGTGAGGAGTCTGCAAATTATTTCACCGTACCATTGCAAACTTGCCACAGGCAGAAGATCTGAGTAATGCGCAAGCCATACTCTCATCTGAGAGAGGAATGTTGTGTGAGAACTATAGAGGAAGAGGATGGCTCAGTTATGCAAGAGGCAAGGGACTGGAGGCAGGGAGCAGCAATGGACAGAGAATACGCAGCAGCTAGAGATGTAAAGTATTAAAAAAAAGAAAACGCATTACCAAAAACAGCAGTTACAGAACAGTTTTTTTCCACTGCAATTGTTAACACACTTATAAAAATACATGACTATAAACTGAAAATGTTGCTGGGCCATATTGAAAAGTAAAAATTGTCTGTCTTTGGTTTAAAAGAAAATAAGCCCCATAGCAAAATGCCCGCTTATCAACTTGCAGGCAGCCAATGTTAACGTTGGCAGCAGAAACAATAAAAAAGACCACACTGCCAAACTCATTATTAGATCAAAAGATGAGGGTTTGGGGGTTAAAGGGGAAGAGAAGGTAGCTTCGCGGAGGACTTTTCAACCTTCCCAAAACATTATTATACATAAGTGGGGTGAGGGATGTATTTTCATTGTTGTCCTCAAAGACATATTAAAACACCTTCTCCCTGCTGTAAGTTATACATCTATATATTTTTCTTTTGCCATTTAAATATGTTCCCCATGAAAACGCCCAGTTTTCTATGCCATTTTTTTTTACAATAGTTTGGTTATTAGCCCCACAAATGGAATACATTGAATATCAACATTTGCCCACCCCAAAGACTGTAATGGGGTTTGGGGAAAACAAATCTAATTTCCAAACTTTAAAGTGACACAAAACTCAGGATTTAAATCTTAGCAATGCATTCAAGAACCTTAACTATTAACAGAAATGTATCTTATTTGTGCATCGCTCGGCTGTAGATCCTCAAATCATCTCTGAATTGGTGCTGACACTGTCCTTCCTTCTGGAGGGTGGCTACTTTTGTTCCCCATGGTCCCTGTGAATGTTGTAAAGTAGCCACCACTGCAAGCTCACTCCTGTGATGGACTACAATCTCACGTTTAGGTATCTAATTTGTACTAAGATTGTAGTTCATCACAGGAGCGAGCTTGGAGCCATGGCTACATTACAACATACACAGGGACTGTGTATGCGATAGCACAATCCATCCAGTGTAAATGCATCCATTATGCTTAATTGTGTGCTAGGTGCATTGTGTTGCCATTGATTTAAATGGCACCCAACACACCTCCCAGCCACTGTACACTGCAACACAGTGCAACATGCGCTCCTGCATTGCCATGCATTGTGTTGTGGTGAAAAAAGTAGTACATGCATTTTTTTTTACTGCACCTCAACACATGGTATTGCGGTACCATGAATTGTGCTGTGGTGCACCACACAGTGACCAAGAGTTACGTTGGGGTGCCATTCAAATGACCATTCAAATGACTATGTTATGCAATAGCAAGCGTTATTGCACAGTATCATGTGATTAGAGCTATGCTTAGGTGTGTTAAGTGTCGCTTAAGCGAAAGTGACATATATTCCTTTTATGTACAATATGAAAGTAAAGTACTGAAAACAAAAAGTTGATAAATATAGTTATTTATTTTAAGGATGATAACCCGGGATATTTAGATATAAATACTGCTCGCTGATGTTTATTTCTGCTGAAGCTCATTGTAAAAACACATTTGTAAGTCATTCTAAATAATTGGAACTATCTTGTTGAAATGATGTCTTATCAGAATTGCCAAAATGTAAATATTCAGTTCTTCTACCCTCTGATATGTGCGATCCTATAGACTTTATCATCATGGAGTTTCACTTTAGTGAACTAGTGCGTAGTCGTAAGCCAGGTTGCGCACATATTTTACACACCTGCAAACATGGAGCTTGTTTATAGTAAGCCTGGGTCTGGGGCTACCTTGCCTGGGATCTACAGCCTGGCAAGCATGCTTACAACCTTAGTAAATCAGACCTATAATTTATATTACACATACTCTGCAGCAAAGTGTTCTTTGTGTTCATAAATGTTACAGCTGACTTATGAGAAAGTCTCCAGTATTGTTGTAGCTGTTCCTGTATTGTATGAATGGGTCCGTGCCATTACAATTCAGCGCAGTCATAAAAAAGTTAATTTAATTTCCTCATTCCAGTGAACAGGTGAAGTAATCTCGCTCCTTTTCATCACCCTGGCAATAGTTTTTACAAGCTGGCACCATTGAACAGGCTGAGTCTAGGACCCAGGGAAGCCAAGGGCTGGAGCAGCAGGCTAGCAGGCAGACTCCTCCTTATCTCCAGTGTCAAACTTGACATCAGCTTGCAAGGCGAGCATGGTAACTTGTCCAGCGATCAGAGCTGCAGTCAAATCAGTGGCACGCTTGCTGGAGATATGCGCCTTTCAGTACCCTGTATTCTCAAAGAATGGATTGTCACTTGTGCTGTGTGCTCTGCCTCCTGTCCTGTATCCTCCTCAGCTGCACAGAAGTGATCCCTCATCCTTCTAACGAAGGTAAGAGACATTCTGTAGCAATTTCCAGTGTGCTGATATTGTAAGACAGAGCTACTTTCTCCTCCATGTCCAGCATCTGTCAGGTCTTTTCAGCCATCTATACCTGAGATTGCTGAGCGTCCCTCATCATCCGAGGTCTACTTTATTTTCTTTATAATCCTGATCTTTCATTTTTGCTCATCCTGCATTTCCCAAATAATTAAAACCATCAGAGAAGGAGTCTGGAACAGAATCAGGCACGCTGATATTTATACAGGTTTATTGTTTCTTTAATCAAGTAGGCAATGACTCAACGAACCCCAAGACAGTCCATTACAGGCGGTCCGTCTTTGGATCCTGAACACTTCAGGGCTTTAGTAGTTAAATCCCTGCTATTTTTGATGCCTGTTTATACCATTCCTTCAGAATGTAAAAGCAAAGCAAAAAGATCTATGAAGTTGTGAATTGGTCTTTTTTTGTTTCCTGTGAGGGCTTTCAATAGCTATACTATTGATAGAGAATTTCAACTAGTTCACTGCAGGCGGTCCTGTCACTTTGTTTCTTTCTTACTGATGTCTTGGGTTTGTGATCTATGCTATTACCAGTGCAGAAATGAGCATCATAGAGTTCCCTCGGCTGCACAAATACTTGTGTCATCAAAGTTTGTTCAATTCACCTAAAGGAAGTCCTTGGATTATGTGGTATAGCTTCAGACAAGACAATAATTTCTCATATTGTATTAAGGAAGGCACAGTAAGACATTATGTTGAATCCATACTGTTATTATTGTTTATTGACTTTTAAATTAAAGAGAGAGTTGGAGAGAGAGAGAGTTAGACAGAAAGAGAAAGACAGATAGAGAGAGTTATCTATCTATCTATCTATCTATCTATCTATCTATCTATCTATCTATCGCTCTATATACACACACGTAAATACCTATATCTGCAGACATACAGAGATAGATAGGACAAAGTCAGACAGACCAACAGTAAAGGAAGGGAAGGAAGGAATCGTCTTATCTTTTATTTTATTGTTTGTTACAACACCATATTATATTTTGGATGCACAGCTGCATATTATGTTGGTGCTATATATAAAAAGAATAATAACAAAACTATTAGATAGATAGATAGATAGATAGATAGATAGATAGATTACAGATGGATAGATAGTTCATAGATAAATAGATAGACTGACAATAAATGATAGATAGATAGATAGATAGATAGATAGATAGATAGATAGATAGATAGATAGATAGATAGATACATAATCTATCTATCTGATTGCACTTTAAGTTCTGAAGTTGCTATAGTTTCCTATATACAGGTCCAGTGTCGGACCCTCTGTTCTATTGAGTAGTATACTTATACAGCCATAAACACGTGCACAGTCTGCTGTATTCATTCACCTGTGAAAAGTACGTCAATAACTTTAAAAGCAATTTGGCCAGCACTGTAAGACACCTCTTGAAAGCCAATTGCTTCAAAAATATGACACCAGCACAGGGGCAGAAAACAAATAGAAGTGACAGCTCTCCATGTGTGAGCCTTTATCAGGGAATTTATTAGGCAAACACTGTGGAAGGAGTAAATCCTTTGTGATTAAGTTAAGCTATTATTTCTTTGTGAATTGTACCCTTTTGTGACACTGTACGCAGCCCTGTTAGCCGGTGATAAAAAACTAAGTCAAAATAAGTCAGAATGTCCAATGTGTGCTTTTATTAGCTCCAACATGCGCTATGCTTTTCATATAAGGTCCTGATGAATGGTCGGCCAGAGAAATTATTCTACAGGAAATCCTAAACAGACTGTTCACCTTTCAACTTGCTTAGCCGTGTGGTTCTGTAGAAAGGAGATCTTTTTTTTTTTATTTGCTGGAATGTTAATGAAAGTTTGCAGGTTTCGAGAGGATTCCCACTGTGTGCAGTGATATGCCGAAAAATTAGAGTAAAATGTGATAAATGTTTTGGTTTGTGTTGCTTTGTCTGGTACAAAGAATGCACTGCAAGGCCCTCCAGCAGTGGCACAGTTAAAGTCATAATTTAGGGCAATAAATCATTTTTCCTGTTTGTTCTAGCATCGTATAAATATGGTGCTGTGTGATTATATAAAGCCCTGTATTCCCTGTGAGTTTATAAACAACTATTATAGTGCATTATGGGATTATGGGGGGAACCCCTGTTACTGTGTATTATAAGGTGTGTTTATGTGTTCTCCTGAGTGTGCATTGCTTTACAATAAATATTTATTATAGGGTAAATTATGGATGAATGGTGATTACCATATTGATGTGTCAGATATTACATAGGTATCCAATTTGTTATATATTGCAACGAGTGGAGCTAGGAGGTTGTATACTAATCAATACACCCTGTATACACATATTAACAGCCTCTAGTATCTAAATTGTGATGAGCAAAGTATCAATTGAGCTTGAGCAAGACATCTATCTATCTAAAATAATTCTCCCTCATTAATCACTGAGGCTTGCCCAAACCATGAATTTCCCATCTCTGCCCTCGACAAGTCAGTCCTGTCTTTCACAGCTGAACAAAGTAGGCAGAATTTAATCATGCCTGTTCCATTTACACTGAATTGGTAACTACAGGAGAATTGAAAGCAACACTCCAAGATGACTGCGGGCAAAACATGCTCCCAATAAATTGCAATTGCTGTCAGAACAGATGGACCTCAGTGCTATTTTCCAGGCTTAAAAAATACATGACACCCCTCCTATTCTTGAGGACTGTTTTGTGAATGACCACTTAATTAGGTATTAAATAGTCTTCTTATTCATATTCCTCTGGCTGCTTAGTGTAAAAAATCTGATTTGCATTTATTTTTTGTCTAGATGTAGTTAAACTTGTGGGGCAGTATATATTAGTCCTATCTCTAGGCTCATATTAATGATGATCCGTTGTAGTCATCAGATCATTTTTCGCTGACGATGTGCATTCTTTTAAAGTTGACAGTGAAAGTTTTTATGTAAAAAGACACATTCAAAAAGGCACTGCCAAGAGCACTGATGATATTTAATCTGCAGTAACACACAGCAACCAATCAGAAATTACCTTAAAACTGATCTGACCACAGTATTATACAATCTGATTGGCTAATCTGGGTTACTGCACTTTACACATCTCCATTGCCCTTTGCACCACCTTGATCAATAGGGTTAAAAAGACTTTAAACAAGAATCAAAAGAAAAAAAATTGATGTTCCCCTTTAATCTGAGCTCAGATCTAAGTAAGGTGAAAACGACGCCTTGATTGCAGTTTTTACTTTACACTATCCTGTATCTACAGAGCAGCTTAACTCTTCCAGTGTCAGATGGGTCTTTAACTGCTGCAGAACTACGTCTCTTAACTCTTTGTACTTCTCTGATCAGCATATGGCAGCCAAACCTCTGCAGCTAAAGCATTAAAACCATGAGGCTTGGAGGATTTTTAAGCTGTTTGATTTGTGCTAATTTAGGCCAATGTTGGAGAATGGATTATAGGGCAATTGTGTGATTAATGTTATGATCAACCTAATAGAAGTAGTACAAGACAAAGAACAATTGTTGAATAATCTTATAAATGAATTATTATATTCATATCCCGTTCATGTTTATGGGGTTGAATAACTGCCGAATGCATTTGCACTGCCACTAAATTGCCGTAGAGCATAGCTCTATGAGCTGACAGATTAAATATAGTATGTGAACACTACGTACATCAGTGTCACGCATAGGAAAGGGTATGGGCGCTTTTTGAGCCATTGCTCGTTAAGTTGCTTTCGCATTCATGTTTATTCAATGGGCAAGAAAAGTGCAAACTGCGCTAACCCAGAACAACCAATCAGCAGTCATCTGTTACGAATCTGCTTTCAGGAAAATTTCCATGGGATACTGTCTAAGATGTTCACACCACCCTATTAATTAGGTCCATAAAAAATAATCCCCGTGAGAATTGCTTATTATTGCTATTGATTTATATAGTAGCATCATCACCCTATACAAAATACATTTTAACATAAGAAGAAAAACACATAGGCACTCATGGCAGATACATACTTAGATAAGCACAGCAAAATATATTGCATAATCAAGCTGTTAAAGGTGTGTGTTGGAAGAACAATAAAATACTGTATATAAAGTCAATTTTAACTATGCCCTGCCCTAAACTACTTCACTCTTTTATGATGCAAACTCAAGTACCTAAAAAAAGGTACATAGACAACTCACAGTCCCTGGTGCCCCAGGAACCTATAACATAATGTCTACTGACACTTGGGTCAGCTTGTATGGAAGCTGATGACCCATTAGCAGATGCATACCTACTGTACATATGGAAAGCAATACTAACAGTCCCTGCTGCCTCAGGATTTTATTGCATAATGTCTACTTACACTTGGGTCTACTTGTATGGATGCAGACACATTCCTGGGTATGTATAGCAAAATATATTGCAAAATCAAGCTTTAAAAGGTGTAGGAGCCATGCCTGCATCAAATTAGAAGAGATAAAAAGATAAGGGTAATATAATATAATATATCCATAAATAGTATTATTTATGATCTGTCATAAGTTACTTTACTTTTTATGTTGCTCCAGCAAGCTTCATTTGATAAAATAGTATATAGACAACACCCAAGCCCTGCTACCACAGGAGTCTGTAGCTTAATGTCTACTCATGCTTAGGTCAAGTCATGTGGAAGCTGATGAACCTAAGAACCAGGAGCCCCCCAAAACAAAGCCATGCATACATAGGGAGAACATACCAACTCCATGAACATGATGTCCCTGCAGGGAATTGAACCCTGGGCTGTTGTGATATTAACCACTTAGCCACTGAGCTGACATACACTGGCAGGCAGGCTCCACGGGACTGTTTCTAACGATCTGATCAGAAGCAAAAGTTAAACATCGGAGCAGTTATGTGAGAAATTCATTCAGACGAAAGCCCAAGAGGTAATTTTCTACACACAGATGTCGCTCTCATAGGATCCCTGTAAACGGCACTAATATACATACAT